GGCGGGGCAGTGGTTCTCCTTTGCACTGTTTGTCCGATTGGCTCGTCGGCATTGGCTGTTGATGGCACCTGGTTCACGCGAGGCAGCGCAGAAGGAAGACTCGTCTGAACAGGCGGTGACCCGCAGCTCTGGCCAGAACCAGAACGAGCAGAGGCGCGGGGAGGCGACAGAGGCTGAAATGCCCGGAGAGCCGGCAAGCAAAGACTTGGACTCGAAAGCGGCCGTCCTAGCCCAGCCCGAGCCCGAGGAGCAAGCCGTGACAGCCAAAGAGCCTGAGGAAGCCAAGGCTGTGGAGGGGCCAAAGGCCAACGGCGAAGCAGCAGTGGCAGCAGCAGCGTCGTCACCAGTCGCAGCGGCCACTGCAAAAGCACTAGCAGCAACGTCCGAGCCCCAAAGCATGGTCGGCACAGAAGCTGGCGAGGCCGCTCCCCCGACAGAAAAGCCTTCAGAAGAAGCAGGTCATGCAGACGCAGAGGCTGCGAAGCCGGCAGATCCTGCCCAGCTCGCCATGCCCGAGCAAGCGCAGCCTGCGGACGTGAAGAGCGACTCCAAAACCGGGCCGGTCGAGGCTGGTCGGCACATGTAGGGACCGCAACTGGATACATGCATTTGGCTGGTGCAGCTAAGGCCCCAATGCTTTCTCCGCGGGGTGGGGAATGGGGTGGGTTCGTGGCTGGAAAGCCGGAAGACAGGACCTACTAGCACCACCCCACCCTGCCTTTGTCAAGCGAGGCTCAGGCAAAGGCAAACATGTATGCAAAAGCTGTATGCCGCGTGGGCCGGGGATCTGATGCGGGGGTGCCCGTGGGCCGGGGATCTCAGATGATAGCGGTCGAGAGTAAAGCACGCAGACCCCTGGACCCATCGCGCGCCTCCTCGGTCTGTACGTTGTCCACCGGGACTCAGACTTCGCTGGAGGGCGAAGTCCACCCCAAGAGCGAAGGAACGGATCATGAGTGTCGTAGGCACCAGCCCGATGCATCGAACTCGTGTTTTCGTAAACCTTAGCCTGTCAAGATCACCGCAAACCGAGCTCAAGCAAAACGCTCCCATCGATTTCAAACGTCAGCAGAATGTTGTCATGACAGGCTCAAACCTTGGAGGGGAAGCAGTGGGCAGCCAAACAGAGACACAGCAGTGAAAGGAAACAAGAACGGAGGTGGGAGGGGGGGGGCAAGGGAACAGGAGCATGTAAAACCAAACCCTGAGGCGTGGACGTAAACAGTTGGTTGCATCTGCCATAACATGACAACCGACGCTGAGGCAGGCTGCAGACAAGACAAGCAGTGGCAAATGCAGCGATGCAGCGATGCACCATTTTCCAGCATGTTTGCCAGTCAGCGTGAGTCATGGCATTCCAGACAAGATATTACAGGGACGGAGGCTGTATCCGACCCGATAGGATACCACATTTGCCCCGCTTCTGTAAAGGAGGCGGCAGTTGGGCTTCAATGGTTGTACCGGGCATCTGAGGCAGGCATGAAAGATGCGCAAGTCGTGGAACTCGGCTTTAACCCAAGCTTTGAGTTTTCGATGAACAATGATGAACATGGTGAGCGCACCAGTGCGATTCGCCGCGAATGATATTTGCAAACGCAAACCCACAAACTGGTTTACAGCATCATCTTTCAGCACCAGATGCGGAGGATACACAAACTGAAGGAACTCCTCTGCTTGCTTTTTAGCCCAAGCTTCACCCAGAGAAAGTGGGTACCACGAAGGCTCGAAGTGCATGCGCTGGAAAAGGAATGCCAGTAACGGTCCAACATCGTGAACCGTGAACTTAACCCATTACTTTCCCGCTGTTTTCGTCCACGTTGCGCATCCATACGGGTCGTGGACAGTGCGCTTGTTGGTCATGTATGGCGAGATTCATGCTGTCGAAATCCCAATGACTGCAAGAAAGGCGTCAAAAACCTCCATGCTTGCAGCGCTTCGGTATGCTGTCTGGGGCGGGGCAGTGGTTCTCCT